CTTCCTTCCTTCCTTCCTTCCTTCCTTCCTTCCTTCCTTCCTTCTTTGCTTGCCATGGTGGTGCAATGATTAGAATATTTCAGGCTGACTGCCCACTGCCCAGAGTTCGATCCTGACCAGCTCCAGGTTGACTCAGCCTTCCATCCTTCCGAGCTTGGTAAAACGAGGACCCAGATTGTTGGGGGCAAGAGGCTGACTCTGTCAACTGCTTAGAGGCGCTTTAGAGAGGGCTGCTACGGCTACTGCTATTTAAGGATGCGTTATACAGCGGTTCAGGAGAGCAGCTTTAGCTGGCTGAAGATGCAGATCAAAAGTGAGGGAAAAAATATATATATATATAACAGGCAGAAGATTCTCAACCACTTTTCCTCCCCCACCTCTCTCTTTTTCTCTTCTCAATGTTGTGCCTAACAAGCAGGAATCTGAAGTGTTTTTCGAGAGCTCCAAGCCAGTGATGTGATTTTTATTAAATCTGTCTTATTAGGTGCATTAGGAAACCTTGCTGTCTTCATCCACAGGCAGACCCTTAGTGGCAAAGTCTTCCTGCTTCGTTGTTTTTTTTTTATTATTTATTTTAAGGACGGCAATTTAAAAAAAAAAAAGTGAAACTACAGATTTGGATTTAGATAAACCGATCTGAATTGAGAGATTTGGATTTAGGGAAAATGCAGATCGATTTAGGAAATGTAGATAGATTTAGATAGAGGGCTGCCTCTCGCCGCATTGTATCCACCCAGATGATTCCCTGGTGGGACCGTGGAAAAAAAAGTTCTCGGTGGTGGCCTCCTTCTCTACCGAAGACCATTCCCCTTGAGATACAATTGGGGAGGAAGAGTAGAGCGGCAAAGTGAAAGTACATTCCAACTCTTCTCTTTAAAAGATTGTAACTAAACTACCAGAGCTTTTGCCTGCGAATATATTTAATTGGAGAACGTGAATGATGACACCCAGCCTATGAACGTGCTCAATTGGAGAATCTGGTTTATGACACACCCAAGGGGGGAGAGGGTAACAGGGTCACAGGGGACTGAAATGAATTGGCCTCAGACAGGTCAGTGCCAGTCGGTTGCCTCTAACGAATCCTTTGAAGTTTTTTGAAGGTTGGCTCGAGAATCATGATTTAATTAGTGCGATTGCTGGAATCCCGATAGATGTCTTGAAGACCTGGGCCCACAAATGGAGGTGGAAACGATCAAGAGGCTGATTTCACTGTGTTTGTCCCTGCTGTGGAGATCTTGGGGTTGCCTGGGTTATAGGCTTAGGCATCGTGGATTTTATTGTTCTAAGGACTGGTGTTCTCTTAGGGCATCCAACCTGCCTCGCATTAATTTGACTCCAGGGAGAATGGAGGAGAAGAGGGATCTCCAAAATATGAAGAAGGTTCCCCCAAATGTTGTGTATGAGTGTGGGTGGGTCATCACAGAAGGCAGGACAAGAAGCATCGGATGGAAATTAATCAGGGAGAGAAGCCACCTAGAACTAAGGAGAGCGGGAACAATTGATCCGTGGAACAGCCTGCCTCCAGAATTTGTGGATGCTCCAGAAAGTAGAAGAGATTGGACACCTGTTTGTCCTGAGTATTATACGGCCTCCTGCTTGAGCTGGGGGGGGTTGGACTAGAAGATCTCCCCAGCCCCTCCTGACACTGTTATCCTATTATTCTGATCTGGAACTGCAATGAGATTATCTTGGTGGAGTCAGCCTTTGATTCTCAAAAGGCCAGGCCCTGGGAGGACCCCTATTCTTTTTTACCCATCACGCAGCGTTTCCAAGGGGAAAACAACCCCCTCCCCGAAAGACAGTTGAAAGGAACGTCTGCGCCTTCCTTCTGCTTCCTTGCTCAAGGCTTGTTAAAGTGATTAGAGGAAAAAACGTACATGAAATGCTTCCAAACAGTTCCCCTGGGGTCCCGGCGTACGGCAGGCGAGCGTGCTGACCAAAAACCCCAATTCCCATCATTAGGCAGGACAACCAGCCCAGGGGACCCCCTTAAAGCCCGCTGAAGGATGGCGTGCTGTCATGCCGAAATGGCTTCCCACGACGATGCAAGGAAAACACGGAGACCCACCCACGCCTGGCCCGACAAAGCGGCCCCCTTTGATCGCTCGCCTTGTACATTTCCCTCTCTGCAATCTTGACAAAATGTGCGCCTGTCAACTGGTAAAGCTTTCCTGGCTTGCTCCGTAAGAAAGATGGGTGGGGGGATTTGATGGAGCACTTCGTTGGCTAGGACCAGAAGCGCATTCCTCGCATACCTTCCTCCGGATTGTGTCCCAGGTTACCAGAGCCAGCCGGATGAGGTGTGTTTTCTACAGCCGGGGAAAGTTCTTCCGTTGGAGAATGTGATTTATGACACGCCGTGGGGGGAGGAGCGGGGAAAACAGTGGGGCAGAGCCAAGTGCACTTGGGAAAGTGCTGACAAGTTGCTCCTAATAAATCGTTGGATTTCTTTGGAAACTTGGTTCGGGCCCCGTCGGAACCCTGACAGCGTCAAGGTACGTCAAGCGATAAGAGAGGCTGATGTGCTTTCCTAAGGAGGCAATTGTGGGGAAGGGTCTGGGGGGGGCGTGGGGAAGAGAGTGAAGTGGAGAAAACTGGCAGGGCCCCTGGGACAATTTTATGCCCCCTCCCCAAGCAGGCCAACTTCCTTGAGTCCTGGTCTATCTTCCTTGATCAGGGTAGGAGAAGACCTACGCTCTTCTTCTCTGGGTGTTGATGTTCTTCTAACTAGGCCTTCTGAGAATTCAGCCATGACTTATGGGTCCACCAGTTCAACTGCCTACTAAGGCATGTCACTGCCCCACACTTGGGGACAAAGATATCCCTTGGAAACTGTTCTGAAAGGGTATAGGATTTCCTGCCTTGAGCCGAGGGTCGGACTAGAAGACCTCCGAGGTCCCTTCCAGCCCTAGGGTTCTATGACTGAGCAGGGGGTCAGACTAGAAGACCTCCAGAGTCCCTTCCAGCACAATAAGCCTATGATTGAGCAGCGGGTTGGACTAGAAGACCTCTGAGGTCCCTTCCGGCCCTAGGATTCTATGACTGAGCAGGGGGTTGGACTAGAAGACCTCCAGGGTCCCTTCCGGCTTTAGGATTCTAAGCCTAAGGCCCGGGAACAGTGAACCACGAAGGCACCAGCCCAAATCCCATTGACCCTACGCGATCCCCTTTCCCCCCCTTCCAAACCAGGGACTTTTAACCTCCCCAACTCCCAGCCGTGTGTCTTCCTTTCATGTCAGATTTAATTCTGCATCTTTCACGAAGCTCATTTCTGGAATTTA